GGTTCCAAAGAGGATGGAGCTCGGCTGTTCTCAGTGGTGGCAGATGACAGAACAAGGAACAATGGTTTCAAGTTGCAGTGGGGGAGGTCTAGGTTGGATATTAGGAAACACTATTTCACTAGGACGGTGGTGAAGCACTGGAATGCTTTACCTAGGGAGGTGGTGGAATCTCCTTCCTTGGAGATTTTTAAGGCCCAGCTTGACAAAGCCCTGGCTGGGATGATTTAGTTGGGAATTGGTCCTGCTTTGAGCAGGGGGTTGGACTAGATGACCTCCTGAGGTCCCTTCCAACCCTGATATTCTATGATTCTAAGATGGATGATGCCTGTGTATTTATTGGTTATATACAATGTGCAAAGTAGGTTGTTTGATCTTGTAATTGAGAGAGAGGTAGTTGCTAATTATATTTCCTTACTTATTGTAGCGGGGTGGTCACCCGCTCCTGCCCTGAAGGGCTGGAAATCAGCCCTGAAAGAGGGCTGCAGTGGTAAAAGCAGCCCTGCAGAGGGCTGCAGCTCTAAAAGCTGGGCTGATTGGGGAAGCGGATGCAGCTGGGCCACACCTCAGTCAGGCCACAGCTGGTCTGTATGAAAAGGCTGTGAGCCAGAGGCTGAGGAGTCTCTCTCCAGGCTGCGAGAGAGCAGTGCCTGGCTGCCTGCAGAAAGGGTACTGGGAGTGAAGCAGGGCTGGGGAAAGGCCAGAGGAGCAGGGGAGCTCTAAGCTGGCAACTCCCCAGGCTGCAGGGCCTGGTCTGAGGCCCACAGAGGTACTGGGTGGTAGAGGAAGGCAGCTGGTCCAGACCCCCCTTGCCTATGATGAGTGGTTTTTACACTGCAGTCTGCCCCAGTGAGCGGGGGCTAGATGGTGACCGGCAGTAGGTCACGACTGAGGCAAGGTGGAGATTAGAGGGTTGGGGGGTTCCCAGAGAGGGGAGTCCCATGGGCACTGGTGGGGGTATTGCCAGGGGGCAGCCCCTGGGTAAAGGGGTCCGGGAGGGACACGGGGGCCAGCTACAAGTGGGACACCGGCCTGCAGAGGGCACCCAGGATGGAAAAGAGCTAATTCCCTGAGATGACCAGCAGGAAGTGCCGCAGCCGTGAGTCGTGCACCTTTACACTTATAAAATCAATACATCCTACCGCAGGTACAGGGTGTACTGGGGGTTATGTGGATGCTGCTGTAACCCATGGTAGGAG